AAGAGAGGAGGGCTACTGAAACCTGGGGCAATACACTCCTTATCCAAAATGACAATAAAAAGGAACCAGTGAATTCATGCCTAAACTGAAAAGCCTTGCAAAACACAGTGGGTTGTATTCCTCTAACTTCCAGTCTGACCCATTGAAATTAATGACCAAGACCAACTTAGGTCCATTGAGTTTGATGTGTCTACTCTAAGTAAACATTAGTTGAATGCAACCCATCTGAGATCTGCCCCTGGACAGTGGAATAGCATTTCTGTTGTTGTGGGACAGGTGGCCACTATCTGCCTTTTCCAGAAACCATTTGTTCCAACAGGCTTTCCCAAATGGATAAACAGGTCTTTATCATACGTGTTCATTTGTTAGTGTTTTAGTTTTGTTTTAAATGTATTTGTTGTTTTTGTTTAACTGCTTTTAATTATCTCATATATAATGGCAGTTTAGAAGGCAATGAATAAATCATTGTTGTTAATAATAATATTTTTTTTAAAGCTATTAGCTACATGAAAGCCTTAAAAAAATAATCATCATCCCTTTATCCAATAGCCATAACAGTAGAAATTATGTGCTGATCACATAGAAATCACAAAAAAAGCTTCCCTTGTGTCTGGAGAAATGGTCAATATTTTGGCCATTAAATTTTAAAAGTACGCAGCTGTGTGCAGAGAAGGTGCAAAGTTTAAGGTCCAGCACAGTTGGGAATGAGACCCCTTGTTGCAGGAGCTTGTTAGATTACAAAGAAAGTCACCAATTAAGACCCAAAGCAGAGTGTCAACAACATGATCTTAAGAGTCTTCCTCCATTCAAAATGCCTGGGGCCTCCAAAGTTGCAACCCTGAGTGACCTGATGAAGTATCTCCTGTTTTCTCTCTCAGGAAGATTAGTAGAGCACTGCAAGAGTGGTGGTGGGGATTCCTCCTCTCCCCTACCTGGTCAGTGAAATAGGTCAAGATTGGAATAGAAACACCACAGAAATAATTTTAAAAGAAATAGGTGGAAAGGAGAATCCGCTTTAATTTTCGTCTATTTATTACTGTATTTGCATACCACACAATTTTTCCTCCGAGGTTTTCAAAATGGTACACATGGCTCTTTCCCTTTCCTTATTATTCTCACAACAACCCTTTGAGGAAGGTTAGCCTGAAAGCTGGTGAGTAGCTGAAGGCCACCCTAGTCAGGGTCACTCAGTCAACTTCTTGGCCAAGTGGGGAATTGGACACTGCTCTCTGAGGTCGTAATCAACACTCTAAAACCACTACACCACACTGGCTCTGCTTCTGACTACTACAAATGTACATTTCCTGCACCCTGAAATTTAGAAGATTTTTTCCCCAGGCCAGACTCCCACCGTTTTGTATTTTCTTAACATCTGATAAGATTGATTCAGTGGGCAAGATTGGATTTTCGCAAGGCACAGCTGCAGAACTACAAGAAAAGGTATTGGACCCAGGAAAATTAATCGGTACTCAACACAATCAAATTACAGGTCAATGTGGATGAGCCCTTACTTTCCTTCCCACAAAAGGTGTGGTGGGATGGAGAGGGTTTTGTTGTGCAAGAGCTCAAAATCCCCTTTAATCGTGCATCCAGAATTTGCCAATATATGATTTAATCATGCCCACAAAATAGCAGCAGCAGTCTGGCTCAGAACTGTGCACATTTTATGTTGCTGTATCTTTAGAATCTCTGAATGACTAGCCAGCTGAGCTGAACAGCCATATCTTCTTCTTTTTCCTTATTAAAAAATAAACAAAAGATCCTGACCAAAGCTGTATTTACAGTGCAGACATACTTGTAAAGTCAAGATGGTCCCTTGGCATATGCTGCACTCAGTTGTCCTCTCTGTTAATGTAAGGCATACTCAAGAGTACACTCTGGCTTATTTACTGCTTCACAAGCACCTCTAAATTGCCCAGAGTGACTGGCCACTTGTTTGTTTGCTCCAATCATGTGAATGGAAGGGAAATACAAAACACTGGAGACCAAACCTAGTGGTGAACTGAATGGTTTTTTAAAAAAAGTGTTTCTTTTAAACAAATAAGGGACTGTTTTTTTATGTAATGTCTGCAGGTGTGTTATAAATAATTGTAGAGGTTTTGCATGGATTCATTTGAAAGCATAATAGGTTGTATCAAGTAATTCTACTCAGAGTAAACCAATTGAAAATAATAGACCAAGACAGGAGTGCCTGGTGTGCTCTGGTCCATGGGGTCACGAAGAGTCAGACACGACTAAACAACATCAGAATTAATGTCCATTAATTTCAATGGATAGCATTAGCATTGGAATATCACCCATTGCACTTATGTTTCCAAATGTGTTGTAAGTCTTTTGGAGACCTTAAGGAAACAAGTTCTAAGTGGCAAGTCTAGTAAATCATCAGTCAGGCACAGCAGTCCTAACCTTGTCCCAGGGAATGACTGGAAGGGTAAAGCCACAGCTGGGTGTGGTTTTTCCTGGTCCCATCCCCTTGGCACTAGATCCAGGCATAATGGGGCCCCACACTGAGATCTAGATGTGCTTTGTTACCTCTTTGGTCTAGTTGCCACTGTTGCCACAATGCCCTTTTAAGGGGTCATCCACTGGCAACTGCCAATGTTAACATTATTTTAGTATACCCCCCCTTTTCCATTCAAGGTGGTGTTGCATAGCTCTCCCTCCCCTTGTTCAATCTCCACAGCAACCCTGTGAGGTAAGTTAGGCTGAGAGAGTATGACTGGCCTAAGGTCACCTTCCACTCCAGCAAAGGCTGGCCATTTCCACAACAAAGATCTCCCCCTATCAACACTACTGCTCTCCATCAATGGAGGCTGGTGCAGAGGGGCCCACAAATTATCTTGCTCCTCCCAACTAGCAATATCAAAGTGTGGGTAGGATCACAGTCTAACATATACATGAAAGTGGGAAAGCAAATACAGATGTAAAGGGAAAGGAGTTCAGTGTGACAACTGGTTTTTAACAGCTTTGGTGAAATTGAACAGCCTATCGAAAATGGGAACCTGAGAAGAATAAAACTTTGGAAGTATAATGGCTGGTAAAAGGCTTTATACGTAGATAATCTCTGAAGATCTACTAATGAACATGATTTTTCTAATTAAATTTGAAATATTATGATCTTTACATTAATGCCTGGAATTAAGGGCTTAAATGCTCTCTTTCATTTTGCGTTATGAATTACTTATGGTTGGCGTTTATATTTAGCATTTTTTAAAGTAGAAGACACAAATGGCTACATCCCATGTAGCGCTATGTTAAAGTCACTTGGTAGGATACTGTTCTGATGGGGAAATGTTTGGCACCAGCAGGAGACTGTGCAAGAGAATGCTTAAGTAAGGTGCTGGTAACTTTGTGGCACAATAGATCACGCCATGTGTTGCCCTACCATTTTCCTCTAGCACAACGACAGCACTGGATTCCTCTCTTGTACAATGTTAATACTTACCCTTACGCTATCAGGCAAAGACTGTTGGGTACAGACCAAGAGATGTATTTATTAAATCCAGCACATGTCGGATAAGTGACTATTCCTTAGATACATGAACTCCAAGTCCCAAGCCCGCCATGCTGGGGTTTATACAGGGTGGAGTTCTCCCTCCATGCAGCTCCAGTGGAGCCTGGGGCTTATTAGGGAGGCCACCAGTGGGTGGTGCCAGAGCCAATGTCTAGCAGAGCCAAAACCAACAATAGGGGGAGCCAACAAATTCTGCTTTTCTTGTCATCCTTCTCGCTGTTGAGTTCTATGAAAGCAACACTAAGAGGAGGAGGTGGCTGGCAGACAGTGCCACTCTTTGGACTGATTGCAAGTAAGGGGGTAGGCAGAGGAGGGCTGGCTTTAAGGCAGAATGAGGTTGGTGGGGCTGTGCCGCACACCCTAATGGACCAGCCTCCACAGCCCAGCTCAGAACAGCTCTACCAACCTCCGCCCATAGAGTGATGCTAATTTCACTCCACCAGCGCAGAGATCCCCCGTTCCACCTGCTCAAAGTGCAAGCAAGAAGCCTAGTGCAGTTTAGGATCATGGTCTCAGGACATGGGAACAACATTTCTGCAGGATGAAAAAGTAAAGAAAGGCAACTATGTAGGAAACATCCGGCCATCTGCATGATGATTGTAAAACAAAACAAAATCATGTGTGTACAATCAAGTCAAGTATATCTATATCCATGAAAGAGCAGATCCGGGTGGTCATTTATCTGTCAGAAGATAAACCCTTCTGATCTAGGAGTGTCCATCAGTCCATATGTTATGCTAAACCTGGGTGCTAATCATTCTGCACTCATATTATCATCATATATCCCTGTGAGGATTTTGTCATGTCCAAAGTGACCCTTGACATATTTTTTTTAAAAAACACCCCACAAAAAATGTACTCTCTAAACTTCACGCTCTTATCTTTTCCAAATGGAGGCATTTGGAAGACATGCCGCTGTGTATTTCAGTCGCAAATCTCTATTATGGTCCTCTGAATATGTATAGGCACAGCGGGCAGCTTTCCGCGGGCTGCAGCTATCTCTGAGAAATAGGTAGAAAGCATAATGCGATGTTTTTTTGGTGTGTTTTTTTCAGGGAGAATTTCAATGCCACCACAAGCAATTTACTTATTTTTTTATTTTTTTATTTATTTCTGCCACCTAGGAAATATTCAGAATGAAACTACCTTGTTTAGAAGAATTGGGGTGTAGAAAGAGGGGAGTAAAAGAGGGGGGAAATGAAAGCAAGAAAGCAAAGAAAGAAAGAAAAAAGATACTAATTTGTAAAACAGGTTTTAATTCCTGTCAAGGAGCTGTTCAATTAAGTTGGCTACATCAGAGAATAGCATTTGCTGATAGAAGTAGCAAGAAAAATCAGTACCAAGCAATATTCACATTTGAGAAAAGTAGATTACATGTTTTCACCAGTGGAAAACAAATGACTTTGTTTGCTGGCATAAAAGATAATCTACTGCATGTCAGGTCACTTTTCAGACAAACAGTAATTTTTGTGCTCTCATAATTTTTGGGTGAAGTTTGGGGAGGAGCCCCAGTTCAGTGTCAGAGCACCCACGTCATCATTCTGCCCTGTTTAGGGAAGTTTTTAATGTGTGACATTTTAATGTATTTCAATCTTTGTTGGAAGCCGCCCAGAGTGGCTGGGGAAACCCAGCCAGATGGGCGAGGTACAAATAAAAAATTATTATTAATAATAATATCAATGATTGAAATGTTTTACTCTGGCTATGTATTTAATATGTTGATATATTTTCTACTGTATTATTGAATTTTATAGGTGTAAATCAGGACTGCCTGTTGTGGGGAGCGATTCAGAAATTCAGTCAACTAACTAATTAAACTATGCATGTATGTTGACATTTCAAAAAAGGGGGGGGCTTATCATCACAGGATGACATCCATATTCCATATCACTGCACACATTCATCTTCTCTGTTGGATTTCTGTCCACAGCTCACTTGGGCACACTTGGAGCAGGTACACTGTAAAAGTCTTACATCTATGATTTTCAAAGTCATTGCAATAAGAGCATATTAAGTCAGTTCTGCAATATACCTGAGTGCTGGAGATGCCACTCATTACATTGTCCAGTGGATGACTCATGCTGACCAAATGTTTTCAAATATGTACAGCCTTGGGACTGTCTCCACCATCCTTGGGACATAGGAAACTGCCAGGTCAGAGTACTGAACCATTCAGTATTGAACTATCACTATTGTCTACACTGGCTAGAAGTGGCTCTCCAGCTTTCAGACAGGAGATTTACCTGGCCCTACCTGGAGATGCCAAGAACTGAACTTCAGACCTTTTGCACACTGATATTGCCTAGCTACATTTATTTAATTTTCTTACATTTAGATCCCACCTTTCTTCTCTCATGAAAGACAAGGTACATCTGGTCACCCTTTCATTCAAGCACTTGCCAGAAATGTCATTAAAGGTGGTGCCATCTCTCTGGGGACTGAGAAGAAATTCATTTGGTTCACATTGTTATATGAATTTGTTAATTTATAAAATTCACACCTTGTGAATCTATTCAAGAGCCCTGCTTTGAAAAGCATACTTCTCCAAATGTTGTGGTGCCGTTTTTCCACCACATAGAAAAACAATGGTGAAAAGTGCATGTGAAAAGGCATGTGTTCATAAAAACAATGTACAAAAAGGGCATCACACTAGGGGAAAATGTTTGGAAAAATGCAGGTGACTAGGCAAAACTATGCAGAAAAAAAATGCATATTTTAGGAGACATGAGGATGAGTTTGAATTTTCATGTAGACCTTTTAAAAACCAAATGTATGTGGAAATTGAAAAATTGAAAACTGAAGAAGTAAAATGGGGAATTGGCAACATGCTCCTGCAAGCCCATCCCCACCAGTGTCCCTGGGCACACTGTTCCTGTACTGAATAAGGAACACCTGTGGGCCACAGCTTCTACTCAGCTACTCAGATGGAGTATAAGGCTGTAAATAGCTATTAAGCCTAATGTATATGTTTTATTTCCACAGTTGGGGGTGGTATGAGTCTGAATACCAGTTGCTGGAAACAACAGGAGGGGAGAGGGCTGCTGTGCTCAGCTCTTACCTGCAGGTTTCCCATTGGAGCATCTGGTTGGTCACTGTGAAAACAGGATGCTGGACTAGAGGGGCCTTTGGACTGATCTGGCAGGACTGATCTCATGTTCACACAATCAGGGATCCTGATCACATCAGGTGTTCTACTCATGTTCAAATTGAAAGGGACATGATCCATCAATGACACTGGCGTTAGGGCTTGCATTTGTGTCCCTGCCCACACTTCAAGCACTCATGTGTTGAGGTGAACACCTGAGGAAGCAGAGAGACACTGAAACAAACAGATTCATCCAGCTCTAAATCAGATGCTGGTAAAACTGCCCGGGTGGGGCAGTGCTCTTACTTTCCATTGCTTTGAACCACCAGCTTTTTCACTACCTTCAATCATCATCATCACCATCCAGAAGCTCTTCAAATCACACTGTGTTTCCCCCTCGCTGTGCAGAGAAGGTACAGTAGGTGGGTCAAATTTAGTTTAATGACAGTTCTTGAAATAGGGGAAAAGGGACTCCAGACAGGTAATTTATGTTTTCCAATGGTGATGCTTTAAAAGTGCTTACTGGTAGTAGCTAAAAAGACAACCTAGTATGGTTTTCCCAGTAGTGATGTATGGAAGTGAGAGCTGGACCATAAAGAGGGCTTATCGCCGAAGAATTGATGCTTTTGAATTATGGTCTGTAGGAGACTCTTGAGAGTCCCATGGACTGCAAGAAGATCAAACCTATCCATTCTGAAGGAAATCAGCCCTGAGTGCTCACTGGAAGGACAGATCCTGAAGCTGAGGCTCCAATACTTTGGCCACCTCATGAGAAGAGAAGACTCTCTGGAAAAGACCCTGATGTTGGGAAAGATTGAGGGCACAAGGAGAAGGGGACGACAGAGGACGAGATGGTTGGACAGTGTTCTCGAAGCTACCAGCATGCGTTTGACCAAACTGCAGGAGGCAGTGGAAGACAGAAGTGCCTAGCTTGCTCTGGTCCATGGGGTCACGAAGAGTCGGACATGACTAAACGACTAAACAACAACAACAGTATGGTACAAACCGATAAACTTTATTTATTTATTTATGTAATAATCAAGGCATCTGGGTACCTAATGATGCTTCTAACGCCAATAGGCAAGCCATGTTTTTGGTGACATGGTGAAGCAAGGAATTTCACAAAATGCCTTGGGACACTAAGCAGATGTCGGATGGAAAACAGCTGCATTCTTCACTGAATGTCCCCTTAAATGAGGCAAAGTTATATGTTAATGGAGAAATAGCAATATGTAGAAGAAGCTACTGAGATAAGGAAACCCATGAAGAAGCAATTTATCCATGCAAAAGGTTATCACACAGAAGCATTAGTTTTACATTGTTTATAGTTGTCACAGAGTGCAATTCCAATATAGAAGGAACTTCAAGAAGAGATTCAGAATAAGTTCTCAAGACATGGGCAAACTTTTATGCCTGCTTCTTCAGGCATTTGATTTCAAACAACTTACGAGCTTAAAATTGCTTCATATAAGATCACAAGATCCTGCTGGACTAAGCCAGTTATCCATCTAGTCTAGCATCCTGTTCTCATATTGGCTGACCAGATGCATATGGTAAAACCGAGCACAAGAGCACTCTTCCCTCCTGTAGTTTCCAGCAACTCATATTCAGAAGCAACTGTAGAAGCAGAGCAGAGCCACTGAGACTAGCACCTGTTGATAGCCATGCTGTCCACGAATTTGTCCGATCTTCTTTTAAAGCCATTCACATAGGTGAATATAGTCACTGATCTGGTGCTTCCCAGATACTTTAGATTACAGCTCCCATCTTCTCCAGCAGGAATGGCCACTGGCCACTGATGATGGGAGTTGATGTTCACAACAAATGGAGGGCACTGCATTGGCTTCCCCTGCTATAGACTATAGTTCTGGCCTACCACCAATCACCAGCTCATATTGCTGGTAACACGGGAATACTGTCTCCGATATGCTGTCTGCTCGAAAGTAGGATCCCTGCATTGTGTTTGTGTGCAGATTACAGTGTAATCTTGCAGTCCTTTGGGAGGCACACAACCTCTGATTTCAATCACACCATGTAGGCAGATGGAACCTATTCATATGGTGCCCAGAAGACAAGGTCCTCCTGTTTGATAGCACATTGCATCTGATTCATTACATGGGTCACTCCATTGCAAGATGTTTTCCCGTGTATAACCCAGACCAGTGATGACAATGCCCTTCTCTGTAAGAAAAGCATTAGAAACCCCCCTCCCTCCCTGCCATCACCACCCTGAGTGGCGAGAGCAGTTTAAACAGATCTTGATTAATATGCAATTCAATCCGTTCTGATTTGTGAACACGGGGCTTGGCCTCATTTGGAGTTTGGAGAGTCGGAGGCTGAATCTCTTGCATGCCTCCCGTTTCAAAAAAGTGGCACAAAAGCGTGGAGCGCTCCTGAAGGAACCAAAGCAGAAATACACTATTCCCTTTGATGTGCCAGCTTATGTCTGTTTCCCCCCCCCCTTTTACTGCATTTAAAAATTCCATTTCATTACGTTCATAAAAGCCGAATCTATCACGCTCCCAAGTCTAACAGCTGTGTTGCATGGAGATATTGATACCCAGAGGCAAAACTCTTTCATGGGGTGTCTCGTGGGATCAGAGAAAGAGAGAAAGAGAAAAGGGGGTGTGGGGAGAGGCTTCCAAATGTTTAAACTAAACAGCAGCGGGGACGACAAATAAATATTTGAAGCATGCAGGCACGCATTCCAACATTTCACTTTCTATTTCTAAATGAAGTGGTGCATTAAATACAAAAAAGATATATGTGCATGTATATAGGCTTTGCTGAAATCCAGAAGTCCACGGTACTCAAAGTAAAACTCATTATATTTAACAGGAACATAATGAACTGTTAAAGCAAGCAACTCAGATCCAGCAACACTTGCATAAGAGTGAGGCATGGTTCGATTTAATATTTATTGCATTTTCTGCCTTTAAGCTAAAAATAATAGCGCCTGCTGATCCCCTGTGTGTTGCAAACTGCCAGATGTCATTTAGCTGTGGTCGCTCCCAATTTGGTTTCTGAAACAGGTCATCAAGTTTTCATTAGGCCAGCATCTCTGCATATTTCTTGAATGGATGGTTTAGCTTTTCTTTTATGGACTCATTGGACCAGTCCATGATCTCCAAGGTCCTCAAGCTGAACCTCTGCTGCACCAGTGAAGGATTTATGAGTGACAAACACTCCCTGGCTGCTCTTTGAGCCAGCCTTTCAACTTGCCAAATGTTCAGATTGTCAGATTCTACAACAGCTTCCCTGGGAAGCTATTCTCCAGTGACTCCTATAAATATTAGTTCAGCTTTGATTACTCCAATGTGTTTTTCATGGGGCTGCCCTTTAAAACAATTCATAATCCTGATCTGGTTTAGCATATGGCAGAACAAGACCTTTAGCACCAGCTGGCTAAACCTATCTTGCCTGTGCTGGAAAAAAATGGGTTCCAAGTTACTTCCAGGCATAATTCAACAAGCTGGCTGGGGTTTATGAAGCCCTGTACAGCTTAGATCCTGGCTAACTACAGGTCTACCTGTTTCCATTTGAAAATGCCTGATTGCCCTTGGCTCCTGTTCTAAAACAGGACAGTATATGCTGTTACTTGTAAGCAATGAAATGTTCCTTATTAAGGCAGAATAATACACAATTAAAGTATGGCCTCAGCAGGATGGAATGAGTTATCCCAGCCTCAGAGCTCTCGCAAGGCAATGAGTTTGCTAGGTTGGGCTTGGTCTAGGAACAGAGGCAAAGATTCATGAGTCCAGGGGCAGTTGCAAGAAGTTCAAGACTGCGCAAGACCTGAAAAGTTGTTCCAACAAGAATTCCACACCCACCTATCCAGCTTCAAAGCAGAGACGGATACATTCATTAGAATCTCTATTCACGAGTGAGCACCTAATCTTCAAACATGCATTGAATCTAGGCGGGGGCAACTTGTCTCTTCTCCTGGGATAGAAACTAATCCTGGGAGAGAATGATGGAGATGCTTATTCCCCCGAATTCTGCTCAGGTTGTGGCTCAGAGCCCTCCTCAGATTCCAGCAACGCTCTCTCCCCCCTGGGAGGGGGCTGGATGTTCTATCTCTGGCTTTAGTGTGAAAGTGGGAAGAGGAAAGGGCTTCTATCTTTTCCAGTCTCCTTCCTGCAGCATCTGCCATCTCTGAGCTAAGTCCCAACAGCACCAAGCGAGCCATTAAACTGAGAGGGAGTTTTCATAAATGGCTACAGGTGTCTTTTTTCCTTAGCACAACCAGACAGGTTCATAGATGTTTCTTTAAACTATTGCATTGTCATTACTACAGTTTGCTTACATAGCCTGGGATCAATTAAAGAAGAGCAAGATGTCAGAAGGTTGGTATACCAGTCAGAAGGTTGGAAGTGTACCAATTTATTTGTTTGTTAATTGAACCATTAAGCATCTGTAGCCCTCCTTCAAGAGGTAAATTAAACATCAGCAGATATCCCCACAGAGGGAAAATGTGGAGATCTAACCCAAGGCATATGCACTTAGATGTCTTAGATGAAGATTTTATTGGTTTTCTCTTCATTGATGCACATTCAGACCAATTTCCAATACTTCCATGAACCGAAGCTAAGAATGTTGCATATAAATTGGTATTCCTTGTTTTTATGAGGTATGGAAAGGAAGGCAGGAAAATAACAATATCCATTTACCTAGAAAATGGCAACCAGAGAGAAGTGGGCCTTCTTGGTAGTGGTCCTCCTTGCATGGAATGCACTCCCCAAAGAGGCTTGCCCGGGGCCTAGTTCAATGTCTTTTTAGCACCAGGAGAAGACCTACTTGTGTCCTCCAGACTTTTGATTCTGATTTTAGTCTCTGGACATTTCCAGGCTGCCACTATTTTCCAGTGGGATTCATTCACACACCAGCAAATTTGGAGCTCTTGCATAATAAACCTGCTTCCCCAGTCAGACTTTTTGCAATAAGCGATGTAATGGGGAAATGCACTGCAAAGTGTGGGACAATGTTTGATGCCATGTCATCTAACTTCCCGTAAAGAAAACAGAACCAATGCTCAATAAATGGCTAACCTCCCAGCAAACAAATCATGACAAATGGTAAATAAGTAGGTTATCTGGAAGTGTCTCTCTGTTTAATTTGATGGAGATGTGTTTCAGCTTGCATTTGGGGCTTAAGTTTTTGTAAGACCGAGCCAGTGCTTTTTCTCCCATGTTGATTGGCTGCATTATTTTGAACTGCATGTTCAGCATTGTCTAGAGTTCGGGTGGGGAACCTTTTTCACCCTCAAGGACCAAGCTCCTTTCCTGGGAAATCTTCCAGGGGCTGTATGTCAAGTGGGGGATAGAGGCAGAAGCAGAAGTGGGCAAAGCAAGGAATGTAAAATATATCTCTGTGAGTACTATAATACCTGCTTCCTACCTTGCTAGGCTCTCTCCACCTTGCTGGGGAAAGCAGAGTCCTGACTCCAGCCACAAAGCTGAAGTTCTGGAAGAGGCCAGAAGAGAACATATTCACTGTGATTCCTTCAAGACCTGCTTCTCAAGATGTCTCCAGACTCTTGTCATAGGGTATTGTTTATGGTTTTTTGTTGGGGGTCAAGATTTAATTTGGGAGATGTTAATTTTGCTGTTATTGTTATTGATTTTTGTATCTTTATTTTTAGCTTATTAGGACTTATGTGGAGATAGTTTATTGTTGTGTACTTTTTGATATGTTTTTATTTATTGCTTATGACTACGTTAGTTATATTTTTGCAATTATGTAGATCTTTTCATGTTGCATGCAAAGCCTTGAGTATGGTTCTAACTATGGGAATATGACATACAAATTAAGAATGATGATGATAGACACATTCCTATACCCCTCTCCATCCAGGCTAGTGAGAAGCGTCATCGGATTTCAATGGCACATCCCAGCCAGGCAAAAACAGTCAGTGAGTGTACAAAGCCATGATCTGGGAGGAGTGTGTGTGGTGTAGGGAGAATTTCAAGAACCAGAAAGACAGACTTGGGAGGTTCTCCCCGCCCCCATATAGAAACTCATCACATGAGGTCACCAACTGATAAAAGCAACATAGTAGTAACTGCAGGTTAGTATTAAGACACATTTTCCCCTTCTTTTATCCATGTACTCCTTTGAAATCCCTCCTTGAACTACCTGTTCTTGATACTGCGCCAATCCCATTCACATTTTAGCAGGCACACTCAAGTTTGTTGCAAGAAAAGATAGGAAAGGAGCGTGTGGAGGTCGGCCAACCCCCCCAGCTAAATTCAAAGGAAGGTTAAAGGACGCCACAAAGGCAGCAAGTGACCAAGCGGTTCAAAGCGAGGACGGTAGTGAAGTTCCAAGTCGCAGATGGGGCAATGGAAAATGAGAACAACGTCCCTGCCCACTGAGTCCCAGGAAGAAAGCAAAGAGGAGGTCAACGCCAGAGATGAGAAGATGTAGAAGGGGGAAGGAGGGAGAGAGAGAGATGAGAGGTAAGACATTTTTGGAGAAGTCCCTCGGGGAGTCTCTGAAGCCTAATGTCCCATTCCAAATCAGATTCAGTCAAACCGCTTAGAGGAATTGTTGAACAGAATGGAAGGGTTGTGACTACTTGATCCTCAGAAACTGTGGTTATTTTAAAGGCAGCTGCAAATATGTGGATATCCAGCAAATAGGATAATGGTGTATGTGCAAGTCAGAATTCATTTTTAGCTTTCTAACATCCCCAGTATGAATTTTGTCTGTACATCCTCTGCTTTCCCCAAATTCTGAACGTAGTCTTCCAAACCAAACCTTGTGGGAGGTAGGACATTCTTTCATTGGTGTGGAATCTAGGCTGGAAAAGTATGACGTTCTCGGTCGCCAGCTGAGTGCAAGACCACAGGTGTTTGACATGAGGTGCATATCAAGCTGGAGTTAAACTTTAGCCTAAATCACACATTACTCATTTTGGTGTTGAAGTAGGAGTGGTGTGCACTTTTAATCTTGCCCTTGATGTGACATCTCCTTCATCAGCCGTGTGTTGAATCTGGCTGTCTCCTAAGGAACCCTAGCTAGGAATGGGTAAATCTGTCAGTTTCAGTTTATCTCAGATTGTGATTTCCCCTAGTCTTAAATTCAGTTTTCCACTTTAATGAATGAAGAATGAATATGTATTTCAGTGCATATTTTCCCCCAAAAATATAGCCATTTTTGAATTTTTCCCTATTGTGATGCATTGTTGTATGCTGTTTTTCATGAACGTATTCCCTTAATTTGTAGTGAACATAACCCCCGTGGTTAGAAGATCTAGTGGGAAGGACTGTAGCTCAGCGATAGAGCAACTGCTTTGCATGCAGATGAGGTTCAATCTCTGGCTTCTCCTGGTAGGGCTGAGAGGGACTTCTTTCCTGAAACCCTTGGTCTGACTCCATATGAGAGCGCTTCATATGTTCCTGTGACTAAGGCAAAACTGTTCACACTCCCTTTGGTGTTTGTGTTTGTTTGGCCTCTGCCCAGAGATTTTATGTTACATTTATAGCACTGAAATATTTTTGTGGGGTATGTTGTTACATATATGCCCTTTCCATACTGCTGTCATTATAACATTGTTCTTGCAATTGTTGATTTTTTTATATATATATTGCCATTTTCATAATTGTAAGCCACATTATTATTTTTATAATTTAATGGAAAGACAGCATACAAATCAAGCAACAATGAGAAGTTTATGCTGAAGGACAGTGGAGAACATTCTGTGAACCAGCCATAGGACCTCTTCACTCTCTAATAAAGCAAGCATTTAATGGAAAGAAGAACATATTTTTGGTATGCTTAGTTTTTTCTTAACTCCCAAATAATTTATATTTAATGAATGATTGTACAGGCTTCCAGTTTATCATTTAGACTTGTCCCCGGGGCCCCTTCTGAGCATGCAAATACAGCTCATCTACTGTTGCTTTTTGAAAATCACTGTGCACAGGGAGAACATCTTATAATTCCTGTTTAAATCTCCTGACAGGACGGTACATGGATGAGTAGGAAGTCCCTGGCTTGGTCCCTTCAGTAAAAAAAGTATGTTTGTCCCAGGATATATATTTAAGAGTATAAAACATCTTAAGGATTGATTACAGGCTCAAGAGACATCTTCAATTAAAAAAAGACAACAACCCAGACTGAAGCTGAAGTAGCCCTTTTCATGCAAATATCTATGTGGGGTTACCCTTGAAGATGGTCAGGGAGCTGCAGCTGGTACAGAATGTTGAAGCCTCACTGTTATCAAGAAGTGCAAGGAGGGATAATCTAATGGGAGCCAGTGTGATGAGAGTGTCAGACTAGGACCTGGTAGACCAGGGTTCAAATCCTTGTTAGGTCATAATGCTCATTGGGCGACCTTGGGACAGTCAGTGATTCCTAGTCTAACTTACCTAACAGGGTTGCAGTGGGGATTAAATGTGGAGGGGGAGAACCATGTACACCACACTGAGTTCCTTGGAGAGGGGAAAAGGTGAGATATAAATGCAATAAATAAATACCACTCTGGTGCTTAAAGCACCGCACTGGTCCTCTTTTAAGTTTTTGTTGCTAGCATAAACAACCTGGGACATACTATATGTAAAGGAGTGTCTTCCCCAGTGCCTTATAGCGAGGGCTTATCCACATGAACCTTTTGCTCCACCCTTTCCAGGCACAGATCCATGCTTTCAAGCTCTGTGTCTGAGTGCTTCCTTGCCCCCTGCCACTTTCCCTCAAGGAAACCTTCCTGCTACCTGAAGGCATCCTTTATTTGAAGTGCTGTTATAGGTACAGTGTAAAGATAAAGAACCCTGTGGAGGGAGAGCCTTGAAGTTGCCCATCAACAGCAAACTGAGCAGGCATGCAGGTCGCCTGGCCTCAGTTTCCCCTCAATATGCTGAGATGCATTTATATTTAAATTATAGTAATTATTTCTAAATGTGGATCTATGCTTGTAAATTGGCATCTGCACATTTTATGCAAAACCTGAGTTCTCTTTTTCCCTCTCTTTCGCAGCTGTTAAAGGCAAGGATCCTCAGCACAAACTAAATCCTACTAAAACCTTTCTAAATCCTTCTAAAATCATAACAATGCAATGGCTTAAATATTCACACCAATCCAGAGGCTAAATTTGCTACGATTTGAATATGGAATTCCAGTGCTAAGACTCTTAGGCTGTGGACACACCATACATTTAAAGGACAGTTTAACCCCAAAGAATCCTGGGAACTGAACTATAATTCTCAGAACTCTTAACACAGAGAATACTGAACTACAATTCCCATGTTTCTTTAGGGGTGATACAATTGCATGGTATGTTGGATTTGGCCATGGTGATGCATGCCTTAGTTACATCCTGGCTGGACTACTGTAACACTCCGTACGTGCGGATACCCTTGAAAAGCATTCAGAATCAGAAGCTGACACAGTCTGTTATTCCCATATATAGTTTTTTGTGTGTGTTTAAGTGGTGTTTCTGGTGCATGATAGCTTACAAAAGCCCTGCAATGTAGACCACTATTAATATAGAACAATAGGATTTCAGAGTAGGAAAAGACCCATGGGTGATCTAGCTCAGGGGTCAGCAAGGTTTACCTTGCCTGGACAGGTTCACTCCTGCGGGAATCGCTCCATGGGCTGGATCGCGTCTGCATCTGCGCGGACGCAATTTCCAGCACCGCGGAAGCGAGTCCCCACTCTGCTGGTTTAGCGCAGTGCGGGGGACTTGTTGAGCGGGTGGCGCTCAGTTTGGGGGCAGCTAGTGAGCCATTTAAATGACCCCCATGGGCTGTTTGTGGCCCATGGGCCACAGGTTGCCGACCCCCTGATCTAACTCAAGCCCCTGCAATGTAGGAATCACAATTTAAAAATCCCTGATAGATGACCATCCAACCTGTTTGAAAACCTCCGGCAAAGGAGAGTCCACCACATTCCACAGCAGCCTGTTTCACTCTCAAACAGTTATTACAATCAGATATGTGGTTAGAAGCGGGGTTGTGGCTGGTTCATAGTTCCAGCCAACAATCCTTATTTATCTATAGGATAGGGCCCAAAGCAATGAGTTCAAATAACAAGAAAGTCTGCTCAGCAAACCATTAGGAAGAACTTTCTAAAGTTGTGAGCTGTTCAAGTCATAGTTCTCTGCGGTGAAAGAAGGCATCTAATAAATAGTAAAATGATTATAATAAGAATTTCACCACAGCTGATAATGAGATAGATAATGTGGCTTCCAGCTGAGAGATGAACTGCAGTGGCGTGGAAACAGTGATGCATGTGATGCATATAAGGTGGAGTGGAGAATGATGCCTTCTTGCATCCCTACTTCAAATCAAGGGCACTTTTCGAGTGCAGAACTGTCTTAACAGCTTTTCCAGTAAAGGAAAGTAAAGCAGGCCACATGGGCATCTAATCAAGCAGGGAAACGTTGGATGCCATCAATGGGGAAGGTTGGATCAGGCATGGAGGAGGTATGGGAAATATTTCTGTACAAAAACAGCTTTGAGCCAGGGTGTGATTCCAGAGAGGGAGGGAGATAAGAGCACTGCAATCGGGCTGCTGTTCAGAGGCCGTTCTCGATTGAAGCTTGCCAGCCAAACGATCTCAGGGGCAAGCTTCACAAAAACAGAGACACAAAAAAAAGCGTGTTAAAATAATGAGAATCAAAAGCAGTGCCAAGCGCAGAGCATAAAATGAAGCAAGGGAAAGACAATTACAGAGGCACCTAATGCAGTCAGAGAGTTTGTTCACTGCCTGGGGAAGATTATATTGACAGTGTTTCATGAATCAGGTGAGCCCTCAATCACAGCTCTACCATTTATCTGTAGGTGGTGATGGCATTTCTCACTCATCCCGGCTCTCCCGCACTCTGTCTATAGCAAATGCATACCCTGCTCTTGTGTTATCAAACTCATTATCAGAACCACTGATATATGACCTTTTCTTCCCTTGACAATGGAGAATAATTTGCCAGACAGTCTAACGGCAGCTGGTGTCTGGCAAAGATACTTACAGCAGAGGTGGGGTGGGTGGTGTCAGATCATTTAGGAATTCAGGGAGGAAGTTTTGAAATTTGTTGCACGGTGTCATAGCAACTTTGAAAGAGACACTCACACATCAAAGGCTTCAAGGAAACGCTGAAGGCTACTGAAGTGAGGATGATGGTGGTGATTCACTTATATCAGGGGTGGAATCTGTGTAGGTCTCCATATATTGTTGGACTCCAGCAGCATCTGGAGGGAAGTGGGTTCCCTACCCCCACTTTATATAGGGCTTGTTCTACATAACTACACCACCACTGCTGCTACACACAAATGTCCGTGTGAAACACTGTACACTTGTTGATTTGTACAGCTCACCAATAGCCCTGGGCAATAATAATAATAATAATAATAAATTTTATTTATATCCCGCCCTCCCCAGCCAAAGCCAGGCTCAGGGCGGCTAACAACAAACAAATAATCAAACAATCAAATAATCCAACATTCTAAAACATTTCATTATAAAATTAATTAAAATCAAATTAATGGCAACCGTTAAGCAAAGTTCTGTGCAGGTTGCCGGAGGTGGGAGTCAGGCTGGGCCCTGACCAAAGGCCTGGTGGAACAACTCTGTCTTGCAGGCCCTGCGGAAAGATGTCAGGTCCCGCAGGGCCCTAGTCTCTTGTGACAGAGCGTTCCACCAGATTGGAGCCGCAGCCGAGAAAGCCCTGGC